AGCTGCGCCCTTAGCCGCTCTTGGCACCTCGCCGACCCACTCCTTGAACGCATCGTAGTTGGTGGTATCTTCGTCCTGTGGTGGGGGGGGCAGCAACACCCAGTGCTGACGTTCAAGGTAAAATATCAGGGTAAGACCCAACAAGCTGCCCTGACATTGAAAGTTGACATAACCCATCAGCACCCCTCGACCTTGTTAAACATGCTCCCCAGGTTCCAAACTGCTAGGTTTTCTACCTGGGCAACGCCCGCCTCGCCCTGCCTGGGACCCGTGCCGGTGTCCCCCCCTGCGGTTGCTGCTGCTGCGACGCCTGCTGTGCAGCCGCCACCCGTGCCACCATCCACGGCATGTGTGCCCATGGCAGCAGCCTCTCCGCCACCCACCGCCTGTTCGTGGTCCCCAGCGGCTGCTCTCGCTGCTGCACCATCACTGTCGTTAGCCGCAGTATCCACTGCCTCAGCTCCCACTGCGGCTGCCACAGCACCGTGGTCTGCAGTGATAGTCGACGGTCGCAGGATCTTGTCCAAGACCTTCTTCTGAAACTGCGTCATGAAGTTGCTGGTGGCGGCCGCCTTGCCAGGCGCGGGCCCGCCGATGGCCAGGCCCTCCTGGCTGATCCCGAACAGCCTTTGAAGTAATACATTGCATTCTGCTCCTTGAACATGCTAGCTGATATCATGTTACCTCCCAGCTCAAAACTAAGCGGTATCATGTTTAGGCTCTGATGTTCATAGGAATCTCCTAAAGCACACCGGAGTTCAATTTTGAAAGTCTTGTTCCATTTTCCAGCTTATGGAACTATAGAGTTGCACTTGTTCAGGTCAAGACGGCGCGGAAGCTATTGGTCCATCCTGTATCCTAGAGTCGTGGCTAGTGTAAACTGTATCAGGTATAACAATGGAATACAAGAACATAGACAGCGAGGCAGGTAATGATAAGACTTGGCTGATGACATGCAAGTATACAAGTACGGTGCCCATACTAGAATACCGCCAGCTCGCCATCAGTACTATCTCTGCGAGGTTCGCGTGGACCTTCATTTCTTTTCGCTGTTCAATCTGTTCTGTGTATCCCTGCGAGTGGCCCACCGGCACGCTCATTGAGGGGCTTCCGTGGGTAGAGGCTGCTTCGCTAACATTCGGCCCCGTCTACCCCAAGGTGTTTTCCCGCCCTGGGTACAGGAGCTACTGGCGGCTGACCTCACCGGGCCCCCCGTCTTGTAGAGGGCCATACACAAGCTTGCCTTAAGGCGGCAAATCAGGTGGCCTTGTGATGATGGGGATTGACGATGGAGGGGGCGGGTTCACGTGTGTGTCGCATTAATTCAGAGTACCGGCTGCCAGGGCTGATTAGGGTGAATACCCAATGGGAGGCTTATTGTCTTAAACCCTTTGTGTGGTCTGGGTGGTTCCAAAAGGGTTACAAGGCAGCCGGCTCATACCGGCACAAGTCTCAAGGATGGTTGCAGAAGGATACACTGTATCCGCTCGAGGACTGCATGCTCGGAGGGGAATGTGCTGTCAGTAGAGAAGCTGGTGGCATGGGTGGAGAAGAAACACATGGAAGCGAAGGCATGGGCGACAATGATGGCTGACACGTGTGTTAATTCGGTCACAATTGTAACCCTTTTGGAACAACCGTGTTTGTTATAGGGGATGGCGCATCTGGGCCACTCCTTTGAAACGTGGGTGCCGTCCACTTTGTGACCAGCAAGCACACATCAAGTGAACTGGACAGTCAGCAACCAGTCGTACTAGTCCCGCCGATACTGCTGTGGCGGTGTCTGCCTCGCACCTTACACTGACGGCACTCTTTCCAACAATGCAGAATGTGAAGCCATTTGAGTACTGAACCGAAACTCCATACGGGCATATGGACTGCCAGTGTGCCTTTACGCATATACGCCTGCATATGTATGTACATGCGTGCCATCTGTTGCACATGTGCATGGGATAACTTTCATAGTCATTCGTTGTCAACCAGACAAGGGTGCATCCATCGGCCTCATTGCTGCGGTTGCTCAGCGGTTGGTGAAGTGTGTGTATGGCATGAAGTACATCAGCCCCTTTCGGTCCCCCTCCGGGGCGGCTGTGCAGAACTTGCCCTTCAGCTCACTTAGCGGCAGCCCTAGGTCCTGCCACATCTCCCACTGGCTGCCTGCCCTCGCTGTCTGGGCGGCCGCCATGTTGACCACCACCAGCCCCCCGCTGAACACCTGTCCCGAGTACACATCTGCGACAGTGA